TCTTTCTAACCCAATCCTATCCAATAAGGAAAAATGTGATGCAGAAGCACAAATAACTGGAGGTTTTTTTTTGGTGGAAAGATATCTTTTTATTAAATAAGAATGATTAGGGACAAAATAAGTATATTTGATTAAACTAAAATTAACAATTTTCTGCACACAAAAAAGAAAACATCAACTTGAAAAGAAAAATAACAGATTGGTTGAAACACTTATAGCAAACATGACCAATAAAAACCTGTACGAAACCTACCGAATCTGGCCTAACCCAAAGAATAATCATAAATGGTCTGCGGTCAGCTTGGAAGGAGGTCTCTAATGGACTGAGTGTACAGGGATTTTGTGCTTGGCTTTGTGTTGCTTGTGACTGCTAATTTGCAGGTGACACAGTCATTTAATCAACAAGCATTTACTAAGCACCTGCTGTATGCCAGGAGCTATGCTAGGCACAGGGAATAATACAAAGACAATGAATGAAATGATCCCAACTCTCAAAGGAGCTTCTAGTTTAACTGGGGAGACAATGAAGACATATACAAATGGGAGGGTTTGCTGTGAGGAGATCTTGGATGAGGAAACTCCCTCTACTGAGGCAGGTGGGAGAGGAAACAAGGTAGTTTGAGAGGTTCAGGATGGACTTGATGTAGACAATGGTGTTTACGTTGGGTCTTGGAGGAAGAGGGATCCTGTGAGGTGGAGCTTTCCAGGCATGAAGAACAACCATTGAAATGATTTTTATGTCTTTCTTGAATCTTATACTTGAAGATCAAATTTTTTGTTGAGCTCTGGTCTTTTTGTGAGGAAGATTTGGAAGTCCCCTATTTTGTTGAATATCCATCTCCTCCCTTGAAAAATCATGCTCATTTTAGCAGGGTAGTTGATCCTTGGCTGCAATGCAAGCTCCTTTGCCTTATGGAATATCATGTTCCATGCCCTGCAGTCTTTTAATGTAGAAGCTGCAAGGTCCTGTGTAATCCTGACTGTGGTTCCATGATATTTAAATTGTTTCTTTCTGGCTGCTTGCAGCACCTTCTCTTTCATCTGGTAATTTTGGAATTTTGCTATTATATTCCTTGGCGTTTTCAATTTGGGATCTCTTTCAGGTGGTGAGTGGTGGATTCTTTCTACCATTATTTTACCTTCTGGTTCTAGGACTTCAGGGCAGTTTTCCTTTATGATTTCCTGAAAGATACTGTCCAGGCTCTTTTTTTCATCATGATTTTCAGGTAGTCCAATGATTTTTAAATTGTCTCTCCTGGATCGATTTTCCAGGTTGGTTGTTTTACCAATGAGGTATTTTATGTTTTCATCTATTTTTTCATTTTTTTGTTTCTCTTTGACTGATTCTTGCTCTCTCATAGAGTCATTAGTTTCCATTTGTCCAATTCTAGTTTTTAACAGATTGTTTTCTTCTGTTAGTTTTTGTACTTCCTTCTTCAATTGGCCAATTGTATTTTTAAGGGATTTGTTTTCTTCAGTGTACTTTTTTTCCAGTTTGCCAATTGTGTTTTTTAGGGATTTGTTTTCTTTTTTTCCAATTGGCCAATTGTATTTTTTAAGGACTCTTCTACCTCTCTCATTAGACTTTTAAAATCCTTCTTGAGCTCTTCTAAGAAGGCTTTTTGGGCTTCAGACCAGTTCATATTCCCTTTTGATGTTGCAGATGTGGGTTTGTTGACAATGTTGTCCTCTTCAGAATTTCTGTCTTGATCGTCACTCTTCTCATAATATGAATCTATGGTATGTTTCTTTTTACTCATGGTGTTTCTTTATTCCCTGGCCTTTAAAGAGATTGAGCTCTCCTGCTGGGGAACAGAGGGCACTGACCCAAGCTTCTTGTGTTGGGAGCCTAGGTCTTGGTCACTGGCTTTGTGTGCTGGGGCCTCTTATGTTGGCAATTGGAGGCTGTAGGGTTTTGGCAGCTTACCTCATGTTGGGCTGGAATCAGCAAGGCTGGAACTTTCAGGCAATTCTAGGTTGCCTGCTTTTCCTTTCCTTTAGCTTTCTTCAGCTCCTTTTAGATGGGTGCTGCAGGATGTTTATCTGCCTGGGGCCCCCTGCAACGCTGCCTCCCTTGTTTCTGCTAATGCACTGGGAGATTCCTTTATGGTAGAGTGCCAAGGCACCTGGTGGTTTTCTGAGCTGGTTTCCACCAGTTCCCCACCCTCACTGAGGCACTCAGAGGTCCAGGTGTTGGTGTTTGCCTGCTCTACCACCTGGGCTTCAGGATCTCCTCCTGGTTAACAGTTAGAGGCTGTAGGGTTCTAACAGCTTACCTGGTGTTGGGTTGGAATCAGCAAGGCTGAGACTTTAGGAAGACTCTAGGTTGCTTTCTTCAGCTCCTTTCAGATGAATGCTACAGGGTGCTTATCCGCCTGGGGCCCTTTGTAGTGCTGCTTCCCTTATTTTTGCTGAGGCACTGGGAGACCCGTTTGCTGGGCTGCTGCACTGCTGTTCCCTGTCTTTCTTCTAGTTCAGCTGTTTCAGGTTTTTTTTTTTCTGGGGTGATATTTTCTGGGTTTTCAGAGGTTGATAGGGGAGGGTAAGAGCAACTACCTTTTTACTCTGCCATCTTGGCTCCCATAACTGGAGTTTTTGAAGGAATGTCAATTCTACCTTAGAGGCTGTGATAGGTAAGGAGGTGAATTCCAAGCCTAGCCTAATATCCAACCAAGACTTTGAGGCGCTGGGCATACACAAGATGTCAGAAGAAAGGTAGGCCATTTTCTATGGACTTAAGATTCTCCAGGGGAAGAAGGATAGGGTATTCTTAAGTACAAAATTCTTATAACACAAACATAAAGGATTCACATGAGGAAGAAATGGAGAACTGTCTAAAAAGAACAATATGGCTGTATGGAGAATTCCCTCACTACAGACTACAAAAAGGTAAGCACAGAAGATGAAAGCAAGGGCAAATAATTACAGAATACAAAAGTGTGGCAAAGTCCTGTAAGAATCATATCCAGAGGGAAAAAAAGAAGAAAAAGAAAAAAAATCAACAGTGTTTTTTAAGCAATGTTGGGGTAAGATGAGCCTAATAAAAGAAAAATCATTGCTTGGGACAACAAATGGTACAATTATAACAAATGTAGGTAAAAGGCAGGAAAACCTTTGTGATTTCTCTACCAAGTGAGATAGTCTTCAGACTCAGAAGGACATAACCCAGATGGTTAACAGGAGAAAGTAAGAAAGCCCTTAGCTGCCCTAACGAGCTCCAATCACCAGTCCCTGATGAACGGTATCCAAGGATCTGGAAAGAACGAGTGAGTGGATTTGGCTGCTCAGTTGCTGTTCATTATCTCCAAAGATCATGAAGAACGATTATGCAGGACTATAGAAAAGCAAATGTAGGCCTAATTTTCAAAAACAGAAAGGTAGATTCTTCAAATGAGACCCAACAAGCTCAGCTCTGATTCTTGACAAAACGTTAGAATAAATTATTAAAGGGATCATGCACACTTAGAGGAGAGATCAGTGAATGCAAGCTGAGACGAGATTGTCAAAGGACAAGCTATGCCTCATGCCAAACTAAGTTCATTTACTTTTTGTGACAGAGTTACTAGACTGAAATATTCAGGGAATGTCATGATATACCTTGATTTTAGCAAGGAATTTGGAAAATTTCTCACTTGAGGGCAAGATGGAGAGAAGGGAGCTAGATAATGGCAATTAGTTAGATTCAGAACCAAGTAAATGTCCAGACTCAAATACTGGTGATTAGTGAATTAATGTGAGACTTGAGACAGGTCTCTGTGAAATACTATAAGGTTCTATTCCTGACCATTTTTCTGCTCAACACTCTTATCAATCACTTGAATAAAAGCATTGATAGCATACTTAACACATTGTCAGATAACATGAATTTGGGAGGTATAGGTAATAGATACAGAATAAAAATCCCAACACTCCTAGCCTTTGAAGGCTAAAATGATAAGCCAGATGGAACAAAACTTTATTTTTTAAAGAATTTTGTTAGAATTTAGAATTTAAAAGAAATGTTAAAACATATTAAAATACATAAATTGCAGAGGTAAAGAAGGGAGAGTATGTCTAGGGCAAAAGGGAGGGAAACATAGCTGTGTTCAAGTATTTCAAGGGCTGTCATGTTCTTTAGATTTATTATGCTTGGTCCCAGATGACAGAACTACGAGAAATAAGTGGATATGACAGAGGCAAAGTTCAAAGAGATTTAAGAAAAAAAATTTCCTAATAATTAGAGCTGTTGAAAATGGTAATATGCTGCTTCAGGTGTTGATAAGTTTCCCATCATTGGAAGTCTTCAACTGAATTCCCATGATAGAGTGTAGAAGATAGCCCTGGTCAGGGATATTTGGACTAGAGAACCCGTAAGGTACCTTCCAACTTGGAGATTTCTGATTTGATTATGTTTCTCTGCCCATCTGTATTGAGACATTCTCCTCCCTTAGCAATAGGAGGTGAGGTAAACCTGGAAGCCAGCATGGTACAGTGGAAAGATTGCTAAATTTGGAGACTGAGAACTTGACTACAAACACTTGACATTCCACTCAGGACCTAGGTGAATATTGGCAAGTTACTCATCATTTCTCAACTGCATAATAAATGGTTTACATTTTAGATGACCTTAAAAATCTCTTGGAGCTCTAAACCTCCAAACCTATGATTGTCCCTCAGAGGGTTTCTGTGATCTACATAAACTGGATGTAGACATAGAAAGCTAAAAGTAACAGCTAAGCTTCATCAGCCTGTGGCATTTTATTTCCAGAAACATTTCTCTAGAAATACCATTTTCCGAGTGATGCAAGACTCAGTTGAGACAATATCTGGAAAGTGTTTGGTGGCTTTAAAATTCTACAAATGTTAAAAAAAATAGCAGAAGTCTTTAAGATGAGTTTGGTCATTGAAGAGGTGTAGAGAACTAATCAGACCTACTCTGAAAGTGGCCTGGGTCAGAGCTGGCTTTGTTAGAACCATTTCTGTCTGCAGGCAGTGATTCTTAGTTCATTCTGCCTACTCACCATGGTCAAGGATGTATTTCACAATATCTCCATTCCCAGTTTTAGCTGCGTAGTGAAGAAGTGAACAGTGATCCGGTCCCTGGATTAGTAGACTGCCGCCATTCTTATAGCATTCTATGAGCTGAAAAACAGACACGCAGAAAGAAACTCAGGCAGCATTTGGAACTGAAGCAGCCAGTGGTACAGCAGAAGAGGCAATCCCTAAGAGTGAAAGCAGCAAAACATAAATGCTTTCTACCTTGGAGGACCGAGAGGAGAAGCTAAACAAACAGAAATTACATTCCTCAGTTGCATCATTTCTCAAATAGGTAGCCAGAATACTCAGCCATCCCTACTCAGCTCCTGAGATAAATATATTTGTTACATAGCCAAAGTAAAACTACTAACTGTTACTTTTTCTTTATTTCTTTTACGGGCATAGTTATCTTTTTTCTACCACAGGAGGGATTGGTGTGTGTGTGTGTGTGTGTGTGTGTGTGTCTATGCGTGTGTGCTTACATACATGCTGCATAAATCTATTGCCCCACTCTCTGTTTAATATTCCTCTGGATGGGAAAAGGTGAGAAAGGACTTAGTGGAAACTAGCACAGCCTAAGTTTATTTCCATAGCTAAGCTGTTGCTCCACAAGTAAAGTTCTCACTTTCTGCAGACTCTCATACATGGCATGAAATACAAATAATAATTTAGATAGCATTGCAATTTTTGTAAAGTGCATTGTGGATATTACTGTAGTTGATTCTCCCAACCCTGTGAGGTACAGACTATAGACAATATCATCCCAATTTTAAAGGGAAAACAGGCTTAGGGAGGTCAACACATGGTCATAGAACTTGTGGCAGTGGCAAGATCTGAACTCAGGTCTTCATAACTCCCGAATTCCAGGCCCAGTACTATTTCCTTCACAAAATAGTTATTAAATATTAATGTGTTTTAGTTGGAGGCAAGATAATGTAAGAGAGCTTTGCTTTCTGTGGCCAAGAAGATCGACTATCATATCCTGCCTCAGCCTGTTAATACCTGTGTGAACTTAGGCAAGTAACAAAGTATCTCTCGAGCCTCAGTTGCCTCTGAGGGAATAATGGGAATATAATAATAATGGGTATAATAATAGTACCTATCTCACAAGGTTATTGTGAGGAATGAAAATGAAAGTCATTGGGGCAGGTAGTGGCACAGCAGATAGAGCATCTGCCCTGGAGCCAGGAGGACCTGAGTTCAAATCCAGCCTCAGACACTTGACATTTATTAGCTGTGTGAACCTGGGCAAGTCACTTAACCCTGATTGCCTCACCAAAAAAATAAAATCATTTGCAAAACTTAAAGGAGTAGATTAATGTGAGCTATTATTATTATTTGGCTACATATGGGATGAATGAGAAGCCATATGCAAACATGAATGTATTATTATGTGTCCCTTGTCCACCAATACCTAGAATACAAGATGCTATTCTTGGTGCTATAGCCAAGAAAAATAAGAGAGAATAGCCCACAGAAGGCTTCCTCTATTCAGCAGATGGAATGACTTCTGTATGAGGATAGAGTTTTAAGAAATACTATAAAATTATATGGGAATTACCAATTTAGAAAGATGAAAATCTAAGTGGGGATGTGCCCACACACAATCTAATAAGTAAGAATGTAGAAAGGGCAAATAAACTTACATTCATTAAATGGCAGATTATTAGAATTAGGGAGCCCTCTCTGAAGTTTGGAAAAGGGAATTTTAGGTACTGACTAACCCAGCAGATAGTAAACACACATACACAATCATTTACCTAGAGAGGCTAAAAATGATGCAGACACAAATACTCACATCTTCAATAAAGATAAAAAGGGTAAATTCATTGATGATGCATACATACCAGGCTAGTACAAAGAAACAAAAGATATTTAGGTTAGGAAGTCAGAGTGGTATAGCCCTGAGCTCAACATCACCAAAAAAAAAAAAAGGCAACTATGTGCTGGCCTCTGAGGTCACTATTGGAAATAGAATAAATAGAACACAAGACTGGTTGAGCCCTCAGGTTAACTCAGAATGATATTTCTTATGTTCTCATGCAAAAATTACACACCCTGTAAATATCTAGGCCATGGAAAGTAGGTCAGGTTTTACATTCTTTCACAGTGTAGTTCCAAGATAATCTAATACAGTTCCAATCACATTCAAGGCACTGTGTTAGGAGCTGAGGAATACAAAGATAGCACACAAAAAAAGCCCCTGTCCTCAAGGAGCTTACATTCTACTAGGGGAATGTCCTATCACTAGCTATAGAGAGTGTTTCTTACAGTGATGCATGCATTGGGCATGTATTCCCCCAAACAAAAATAAATTAAACCTTAAGAGCATGCTCATATTTTCAATTCAATTCAATGAATACCTTTTAAAGAAACTACTTATTATCTGTGAGGCATTGTGCTAGGCACTGGGAATAGAAAGGTGAAAAAATGAAACCATTTCTGCCTTTAAGAAGCTCACAATCTAATTAGGAGGATAAGTTTGCAAACATGAATGATACATGATAGCATATGATAAAGTACAAAGAAGAGTTCCTTGAGGGTGGAGACTATCTTTATATATATTTGTATCCCACCCCCAGCACTTGGCACAGTGCCTGGCACACAGTAGGTATGAAATGAAAGTTTGCTGACTGGCTACACAGAACGCATGAAGGAGAGTAAGCGCAAATAAGGAATATAGGCTATTTTGGAACTAGATTGTCGAGGCAATTAAATGACAACCTAAAGAGTTTATTCTAGATAGCTGCTAAAGATGGCCAGGGGAGACTGGTCAGACATGCCTCAGGAACATTATCTGGACAGCCATGTAAATGATGGGTGAGAGAGAATAGGCTGGAGGCACAGAGACAAGTTAATCTAGGGAAGAAGTGATGAGCTCCTGAATTAGCATGGTGGCCATAAGAGCAGAGATGAACACACACACACACACACACACACACACACACACACACACACACACGAGATATTGTGGAGGTAGAATGGACAAGATTTGTCAGCTTATTAGTCATGGGGTGGGGTGAGGGAGAGGGAAAAAATAAAAGAGCATTTGATACTTTTGAATCTAATTGCCAGCCACAGAGCTAGGGATGATGGGAGGGGTGGCAGGTTTGGGATAGAAGAAGATAGATTCAGTTTTGAACCTGTATTTGAAATGACCATTTGTGTTCATTTGTATACATAATAATAACAGCTAACATTCTGTAATACTTTTAAAAGGCTCTTTATATATATTATCTCATTTGATCCTCATAACAACCCTGTAAGGCAGGTGCTATTATTATTCCCATTTTATAAATGCGGATATTATGGCAAACAGAGGTTAAGTGTTTCACCCAAGGTCACACAACTAGCAAGTATCTGAGATTTTAACTCAGGTCTCCATGACTACAAGCCCACATTCTAACCATCCCTGCGAGAGAGTTGCTATTATTATCCTCATTTGACCGACAAAGAAACTAAACCTCTGAGAGGTTAAAGGACCTGGCCCAGTGTCACACAGCTAGATGTCGTCCAACAGAAGATTTTACTCAGATTTTCTTGACTCGAAGTCTAGAGCTCTATCTTCTATTACACCTAGCTGCCTAATCTAATTCTATGAGGGGCAGGGCGCAAACTGGAGTCACAGAAAGAGACAGGGCTTCTGAACTTATGTTCACTAATGAATAAAAGAAACAAGAAGAAATAGGGAGTAAAACAAGGAAAGAGAAGAAAAAAAGAAAGCCATTATCCCTTTGCTTTCATCTTAGATTTCTGGCAAGTTCCAAGCACTATTAGCATACTTTGGTTACAACAGAGAAAGGTCAATATAACTATTACATACATACATACATACACACATGTGTGTGAGTGTATGTGTGTGTCACCAGATGTATAGATGTATATATACACACATATACATTTATTACACATACACACATATATGTATGTGTGCATATATTTCTTTCTATGGGGCAGCTAGGTGATGATTGATACACTGGGCTGGGAAACAGGAAAACTTATTTTCCTGACTTCAAATCCAGCCTCAGACTAGCTATGTGCCCTGGGACAAGTTACTTAACCCTATTTGCTTCTGTTCCTCTTCTATAAAATGAGCTAGAGAAGGAAATGGTGAACCATTTCAGTCTCTTTACCCAAAAAACAAATGGGGTCACAAAGAATCAGATACAACTGAAACAACTCAGAAACAAAATCTCTCTCTCTCTCTCTCTCTCTCTCTCTCTCTCTCTCTCTCTCTCTCTGTGTGCACGTGCGCTTGTATTTTTTTTTTAAATAAAACACTATTAAGAAGAAAGGCAGAGTAATCTGATGACTGGTGAGACAGGAATGATGGTCCAGCCAAAAGTGTGGAGAAAATGGAATGAGAAGAAATGTCTAGGAATTTTGAAGTTTTACCTTTTCCACTTGCATTTTTGCCATAGGTCCAAGATACGTAATGTACTATAAACTGGGTAATGAGAATCCTCTTTCTGCAATAGAATGTCCCTATTGACATCTGACTGACCAGTAGATAGGAATCAGTTTGGGTTTGTATAAACGCACAGAGAACCGAAGTGCTTAGCTGGCTCTAAATTTACCTTAAAAAAAAAACAGCTTCCTACCCACTTCCTGACAGGCAGGTTGTGGACTCTGACTGTAGAATGAGACCTTTTTTGGAATGTGACCAGTGAAGGAATTTACTTTTCTTGATTACACATGTTTGTAACATATTTCATTTTTCTTGCTTTCTCAATGAGGGTGGGGGTTAGTTGGGAAGGAGAGAATGTGGACCTACAAATAAAATATAATTGAATAAAAAATATCAATCAAAAAGAAAAAATAGCATACTGCTTTTAAAAAAAAGTACATTTGTACCTTAGTTTAACAGAATAAAAACATTCTTTAAAGGCTATTTCTAACTTTAATTTGATTAGGGAAACACTATATGCAAGGTCTGGTGCTAAGTTCTGCATGCTATACCTTTTAAATGTGCAAGGGGTACTACACTTCCCAACTTTTATTCTATGGCATTCTTATTTGCCTCCAGATCTAAAATTTCATAGCTATAGAGAATTTCTGGTTCCCTTTACCGGTATCTTATCTGACATTTATAGTCTTTTTTGAGTCTGAGCAACTGAAAGGCTAAGGACCTTGCCTGTGGTCACTCAGCTGATATATGTCAGAACTTACAGAATCATAGATCAAAAATTGGAAGAGACATTACAGGACACTGAATCCAATTCTTCCCCTCCCCCGAAAAAAATGACAGATGAGGAAACTGAGGGCCAAAGAGGTTAAGTGCCTTCCCTAGGACTCTGGTTCTGCTAACTCCAAACCCTGTGTCCATCTACTATGTCTTCATGACTCTCTAAGAGAGTCATGGACCTATATCTTACTGACTTTGAAGCCAGCCCTCTAGTTATTCAAATTTTGATGGCCCACATGATGAGTAGGGGATCATGTCCATTGATAACTGAGAGAAGGCTTGAAAACTAAATTCACGACTATAATAATGGAAGGAGAGAATTGGAAGAGACAGAGGATTGAGTGAAAAAAGAGAAGAACTCTTGCATAGCTGTTTGGTTATTACAGATGAGAGACTTCTAGGAAGAGAATTCTCATCTAAGATTTCAGAAATGTGCTCAGGGAATTGATCAAGCCTGATGCTGATGACATGAAACATATCCAATGTAGATTTGGGGATGTATTCCAATGGTGATGTTCACTTATTTGATTCAGTTCTTGGTCATAGTTCCCTCTGATATTTCCTCTGTCCATTTTCTATAATCACTTATTTTTTCTTCCCTCTAGACTCAAATAATTGTATCTTACAGATATCATGCCTGAGAAGCCCTGTACTTGTATCTTCCTGATGGCACATATCGTCCACTGGATCCCCCAGACATAACAGCTGGTAAATCATGAAAGGGGAAGAAAATAGGATGTGTTTCTTCTATAAGTGGTAGTGGTAGGAAGTGGTAGGGGGAATAGCTTATGCTTTTAGGAGACTCACATACTCAAAGTTTACAGATCTCTTTTTTCTAATTACTGAAAATGCGGATTAACGCTGACTCACTATCTTTTAAAAAATGTTTTATTGCTGCCTTTAGATTTTATATAACTTTAGTTTCTGGATCTACTACCCCTTCCTGGTTGAATCCTCTCGTATAACAAAGAAGAACAGTTAAGTAAAAACAACAGATAAAGCAACCTTGTATTATAAAATATGTAGCATTCTGCCCTAGTAACCCTTCTTTTTTTTCTGAGAGGAGAGAGGTATTTTTTCATTATCTTTTTTATGAGTCCACTCCCTAAAACCTTTTGTTTTGAAGCTAGAAGTAAAAGCCTCTTCTACATTCAAGTAAATTTTACTTGTACCAAAATTACCAAGTTTCATCTGTAGTCCTGCAGGAGGGAAGACCTGCCTTTCAAAGGTTCATCTCCCCCCCAAAAATAAGATGCTGAAATAATCCTGGACTACCCAGCTTCCCTCTGGGAACTATGTTTCAGTGGCTGTCAGAGCAGTGTCTGCAAGAACACATCATGATGGTCTCTAAAAAGAAATCTCAGTCCCTCAAGCATCCATACTTAGAGATCAGGGACTAGATTAGATGTTTACTCTATTTCCTGCCAGACACTCCATCTATTTTAATTGATCCACTTAATTGCCTTAGGGAAGCTACTTAACTTTCCTTCCCAATAAAAAAAATGTGGGAGCTACCACTATTCTCTCCCCTGATCCCACCTCTGATCTTAGCAGTTCATACCTTTTTGTTAGCGTGCAAGCTAGCTCAGCCAAAGAAGATGAATGGCAGATGGGCCTTGCTCATGACAGAAGCCTGCTGGCTTGGGGTGAGGGATGGTATTGATTTATAGTGCTTAGAAGAATTTCTTACCTTCATTAGATCTCCAGCTATGACTGCCTGTACAAGTGCTGTAAGAGACAAAAGAGAGACTTCCTGTTAGTTCTAGGACCTCCTTTTGAAACATTTTCAAGGTCGAGGGACCTCATGCTCTGGAAATACAATTAACATGTAGGGCAGGAAGGAGGAAGGTGTGTGGAAGAAGAGTATAAATGGTGCAAATTTGTGAAATTGATTAATTGGCCTTCTGTATACTCTTCTTAGCTTCTAACCCATCCAGGCACCTTCCTATGGCACATAATAACTCTGGATTTGGCTTCTTTGTACTCTTCATGTACTACTACCCACAGCTTGTCACTGTCATGCTTTCCTAGTAATGCTTGTTTTACATTTCACTGACTTGGGAACCAAGGTATCAAATCATTTGTCTAAAAAAATTAATCTCAACTGAAGGGAAAAAAACTAGAAACCCAGCAATGCAACAAGTATAGTGTAGTAGAAGTAGCAGTGGTGGTGGTGGTGGTGGTGTAAGTAGCAGTAGTAGTAGTAGTAGTAGTAGTAGTAGTAGTAGTAGTTGTAGTACTGGTAGCAGTAGTAGTGGTAATAGTAGTAGTAGTAATAGTAGTAGTAGAAGTTGTCATTGTCATAGTAACTAGTATTTCTATAGTTCTTTAAGGTTTACAAAGTGCTTTGCACCGTCACCTTGTTTGATCATCATGATAACCCCATGTTAGTCTTAGCCCCATTTTACAGATGAAGATTCTGTTAGCTACTATATCTCTCCTTTTTGAGGCTACACTTGAGAAGGTTGTCTGCAGTTGAGGCCTCCACTTGCCCTTTTCTTACTCTCTTCTTAACTCTTTACAGTCTGGCATCCAATTTCATCACTCAACTGAAATTGCTCTCTCCAAAGTTACCAATGATATTTTAATTGTCAAATCTAATGGCCTTCCACAATCCCCTTCCTTCTTGACCTTGCTGTAACCTTTGACATAATTGATCACTTTCTTATCCTTGATATTTCTCTCTAGGTGTCCATGATGCTACTTTATCCTGGTTTTCCTCCTATATGGTTAACTGTTCCTTAGTCTCCTTTGCTGGATTAAGCTCAAAAATTGTGGGTGCCTCCGGGGCTCTGTCCTGGGCCTTCTTCTCTTGTCCCTCTGCACTGTTTTGCTTGGTGATCTCACCAGCTCCCATAGATTCAATTGTTAGTTTTATGCTGATGATTCTTAGATCTACATATTTGTCCCAACCTCCAAACCTCCAAATGCCTATTAGACATAATGAACTGGGCAATCTGCAGACATCTTAAACTTGATACTTCCAAAACTCAACTCCTTATCTTCCCTGTTCCCTTCTCAAATTCCTGATTACTTTGTAGAGTATCACACTCCTCTCAGTTACCCAGGCTTGCAAATAAGATATCATCCTTGGCTTTTCCCTCTCTCTTTCATGCCCCATATCCAATCTGTGGATAAGGCCTGTTGATTTCACCTTCGTGACATCTCTTTTAAATACACACTCCTCTCCTCTGGCACTGCCAACCACCCAGGTGCAGCCCTTTACCACCTTGCACATGGACTACCATAATAGCCTCCTGGTGGGCATTTGTATTTCCAGTCTCTTATCTACTCATTTGTCAAAGTCATCTTTCTATCAGCAATCATATCTTTTTTGACAAATGCTTTGTAAACCTTGAAGTGATACATAAATTCTAGCTGCTATTATTATTGTTGTGACTTATCTTATCTGCAGACTTGCTGCATCCCACTTCCTTTCTATTCCCAATAGAATATAAGCTCCTTAAAAGCAAATAAGTTTTTTTTTGGTCTTTTTAGCTCTAATACCTAGTATGGTGCTTTGCACAGAAGAGTATTTAATACATGTTTGTTAAATTGCCTTGACCAACACTATCTACCTCAAAGGGTTGTGAGAGAAGCACGTTGGGAAATGTTTTTATACCTTAAATCAGGGGTGGGGAATCAGGGTCTGTATGCCTTAAATCAGGGAATGGAGGCCACAAGGACTTGTTCTGTGAAGTTTGTATTCAGATAAAGGGCCACATCTAAGGACCTAGTTGGCCACATGTAGTCTTGAGGCTGCAGGCTCCCCACCTCTGCAAATCACTGTATACATGAGAATGATGGTGTGACCATGAAAAAGAAAAGCAGAAATCTTTCTTTGTCTTTAGTTGCCATGATATTATCGTAACTTTTCTTAAAGAAGGTTTGGACATTGAATGCTTTTTTTTTTGGTGGTGGTAGGAGGGGCAGTTGTGGTTAAGTGACTTGCCCAAGGTCACACAGCTATAAAGTGTCAAGTGTCTGAGGTCACATTTGAACTCAGATCCTCCATGTTGAATGCCTTTTGATTATTTTTCTTTCCTTTAATTTTTCCTCCATTTGTACTTAGAGAAAACTATCTGCAATTGCTGCATATATGTGTAACAATGTATGTATGACAGAGAGAAAGGCAGACAACAAGATACCTTCCCATAGGCATTAAGCCTCTTTGTGTTTGATTTTAATTTTTCTCTATGCAATGTCTAGGGATAAGCACTAGTTCGTTAGTCATTTTAGAACCTAAGGTAAAAGAAAAAAATGTTATGTTCACTGTCTTTTGGCTCTTTTTTTTATTCCCAAGAGACTCTGGGACTTGAATGGTGGTAGATGACATAACAGGGAAATTTGTTTCAAATATAATCCCTAGATTGAGTCACATGAAAAGAACTTTACACTTTCTTTTCCATAGAAAATGTCCCCACCTCACTGAGATACATGTTGCTCAGTCTTCTCATTAGACTGGACTCAGAGATGCCATACAGTTAGTATAGAATTCTCCATAAGAATCTATACCTCCAATTTAGTTCTATAAATATGTTCCAGTAACAATTCTAAAGCCTGAGATGGTACCCCTGCACCTCAAGATGTCCCATAATGTATCCATTCTCCCTCCTCTCCTTACTAGCTCCTTGAACACAGTATAAACATCTCTAATCATCTCTATTTGGGTCTATTTGCTCCCTCCCAGATTCAGTTCTCTAAGAGACAAGCAGAAAATGTAATCATGAATAATTTCTGAGTGCCAAGCTTCAGTATAGGAAGCAAGAAGGGTTATTTTTAAGTTGCACACTGCCCCAGGGTGACCATTATGCAAACATTAACTGGCACAAAACTCATTTCTCTTCTTCTGACTAATGCTATTTCCTATGAGAACTGAAGCTTTAGATTTCTTCCCAATAAAGGAAAAATCTAAATTGCTCAGTATTCTGCTCCAGACAACTTCTCCTAAAAAAAAAAGTCTTAAGAACAAAGAAAGAACAGCCTGTTGTGATTAGAGCATCTTTTTTTTTTAACCATTTCTTTAACGCTTTTCTTGGAGTCTGGCCTGATTTAAAACTTTCCCATAAGGCAGAAACCACATTTCACAAAGTGAAATTGTTAATGGAGGGAAGAATACTGAGCAGGGGAAACACTATATCAGATTCTTCAGTTGAGACTTGCAGAATGGACAGCCCAGATACACGGGTATTGAAAAGTTTACTTAGAGAGAGTGAGGAGATAGAGAAGTGTGACATAACATCACTGTAGCAGTTAAGGATGTCAAGAGTAGCAGCATTTTTGAGGTAATTTATTTCCTTTTAGGGCCTATGCTTGAAATTTCAGGAGCTGCCACTCCTGAAGTGAAACGTGGCTGGATACTGTCTATGACTAGCAAACCATTCTTTTAATTTTTCTTCAATTGTAGGTAACTGAGAGGTCATAGATAAGCACAGGATCACTTGTTTTTATTTATTAAAAAATTAGTAAGCTACTAAAATTACAGTAAAGGCAGAGGAAGAGAATTTTGGAACTAGTAGTTATAACAGGGGTTCTTAATCTTTTTTGTTTGTTTGTTTCATGGGCCCCTTTGGCCACTGAGTAAGGCTTATGAATCCTTTCTCAAAATGATGTTTTAAATGCATATGGTTATAAAGGAAAACAATTATACTGAAATGCTGTTGTCAAAATATATATGTTTTAGGAGACAAGTTCAAAGTCTCCAGGTTAAGAACCCAGAGCTAGAAGACACTTTGATGATCAGATTGAGTCCTTTACTGCTCAGTTGAAGAAACTGAAACTCAAGGAGACAGTGATTTGTTCAAGGTTACACAGCTAGTTAGTGTCAAAATCAAGACAAACTCCCAGATTCCCTTATTCTCAGGCTAGGTTTTTCCCTCTATACCCAGGCACCTTCAGATATCAGCAAACACTGATTATTAACACTTGTACACTTATCTTTTTGTTCAGTTGAGTCCAACTCCTTGTGACCCCATTTGGCGTTTTCTTGGCAAAGATACAGGAGTGCTTTACCATTTCCTTCTCCACCTCATTTTACAAATGAGAAAACTGAGGCACTTAAGGTTAAGTGACTTTCCCAAGGTCTCTGAAGCCAAATTTGAACAAGGGGAGATGAGTCTTCCTGACTCCAGGCACGTGCAAATTTAAGAAAGGCCACATATGTCAGAGAGAGCCAGGAAAACATTAGCTCAGGTCCCACCTCTGGCATATACTTGGACAAGTCACTTAAACTCTCAATGCCCAACACAATGATCAAAGGCTAAGAGTTAGAGAGAAGGTGCTGATCTGCATGAGTGGAGGGAGTTTCCTCATTGAGTTCCCTATCCTCAAATCACAGGTTTATCCCTATTCATATAATTTAGATACATCTTACAAGAGATATAAACACCTATATCTAGTACGCCTCAACTGAAACCAATTACTTCTTAATTGGTGCTATGATCCTTGGTCATTCCCTCCCCCCATATCCAATCAATTGCTTCCAATCAGTTTTTGCTTCTAAAATATCTGTTCCTCTCCTTTCCAGCCATACTAGCAACAACCTAGTTCAAGTCCTCAATATTTCTTGCCTGTTCTTATCTAAACTATTATAACATCCTAGTCTTTCTATCCCCAATTGTTCCCCTCTCCAATCCATCCTTGTTCACATAGCTACCAAAAACTATATTTCTACTGCACAGTTCTGACTATGTAGTTACCCTGTTCAAAAACTTCTGGGAATCCTGTTG